CCTAAAACGTGATTAGACTGGGTTTTTGCTTCGAATTTACTTGTTCTCATTTTTTTTGTAACTCTTGCACAGTTTAATGTGGGTTTATGGCCCAGTTTTATAGCCTGCGACTGCGAAAATGTGTTTTGTTTTTTTGTGCTCGACATTTCCTGGACATTTGCCTCAACCCGATCGATTGTAAAAAGTCAGCTAAGGCCAAGCTGAGGGCATGTATTTAAGCCGAAGTGGTCAACATAATTGGCTCAACAAAGAGTTAAAGGCCTGTTTAGACTGTGCGGCATGCCACGCCCCCGCTAAGGCAAGCAGCATACCTGTGTACAGGTAGAGCTAAGGGCAGAGAACGCCCACAGAAACAACTTGACTTGGGCCGAATGTCAATGCTGTGCAGGGGCATAATTTACAAGCTGGCCAGAAAAAGTGCCACAGTCACAGCTACAGGGCTATAGATACACGGATACAGATACAGATACAGATACAGATACAGATACAATTGCCGAAAGATACAATTCAAATGAAAAACTTGCAAAGCATTTGCGGGTCAGCTAACAGCTCATAAATCAGTCGGGGCCAAGTTGACTGACTTGGCCAACGTCTTGACTCCTAGTTCGACTACCTGTGTGTCTGTGTGTGTATGTGCGGATGTGTGTGTGTGTGTGTGCATCCATAAACTTTCAAGGTCCGGCCGTGTGCGCATTCAATGGAAAATGCATTGCGGAAAAAGGATGTGCCTTGCACCGTGGCCTCACCTTGATTTTTATGACATGTAAATATTTATGGTTGACACGACCTTGTCAATTCCCGCTCTGCTCATGCATCCTGTCACACACACACACACCCACAACCACACACACACACTCGCACACTTTTTTATGATTCGCCTGAAAAAAAAAGCAGTTCACTGGAAAAATGCTGCAAAAATTTTATGATGCGCATAATTTTCCAAATGGTTTTCCTGTTCCTCTGCCGTTGCCCTGCCCTCCTCTGGCCCGCTGGTTCCGGTTGCCTACGCGGCTGGCCATAAAAAAATTGACTTTCTAAGCGGTATTTGCGCATTGCCGCAATTTGCGAGACCTGTTCCAGGACATTGCCCATTCCATCACGCCCATTTACGAGCCCAGCTCATGCATTCAATTCAATTCGCAGCAATTTTCTTTGCCATTTTATTTGTTGCGGGTTTTCGCAATTGCTGCCAAAAATTGGCAACTTTTTGCGCTTTACCTGGCTGAGGACGGCGCAATATTTGTTCTAGGGTTGGGCGTGAGGCTGTTTTATGTATGTTGAATGAAGTTTCCAACTCGAATCAACTTTCAATGCCAACAACAAATATTTAAAACAAAATAAATATTTTTATAAAAAATAAATATTTTGATAAAAAAATATTATGATAATGAATAAATATGAAAAACTAAATAAAAATATATTTTTAACTATATTTGATTGAAAATAAATATTATGATAATTGATAAATATTTAATAAATAAATAATTTAATGAAAAATATTTTGTTGAAAAATATATTTTGGATAAAAAAAATATTTTAATACAAAATATACATTCATGTTTTTTTATAATTAAAAAATAAATGTAATAACAAATAGATATAAAAATAAATAAATATTAAAAAACAAATAGATACTTTAATATAAAATAGATTTCGTATTACAAAATAAATATGTTATAATATTTATAATATTTTGTAAAAATTTTTATAAAATAAATAAAAATAAAAAATAAATATTTAAAAAATTACATTTTCCTTAAAGAGGTATTTCCCAAGATAATTTTGGAGCTAATTATATTTTTTTTAGCATATTTCCGATAATTTGTCAAAAATCATAATTAGTTGATTTTTGTTATGCTCTGTCCAAGCTTTGTTAACAAAAGAGTGTGGTCGCATTTTAGTTTGTCTATTTTTCTTACATCTGGCAACGCTAAATCCAGCAAAGTTAGCATAAAATCTCATACATGAATCGCCACTGTCCAAATCAGCTAAAAATATTGTCAATCTATTTTATTGTTGGCTATGAAAAATGTTAAAGCAGCTAGCAAGCTGACAATGGGGAACTTTCTAATTATATTCAAAATACAAATACCTTAGACTGGCGCTTCATATTTATATCAGTTAATTGATAAGATTGATAAGATTGATCTAAATTACGTACATAGAAAAATCCTGGTTAAGCCTATATTTTCTTTCTGTTTCTGCTTAACCTAATCTCTAAACCCTTTCCTCATATTGAACCACTCAAATTATGCTAATTTAGATTTTAAATTATTCTTGCTTAAATTTCTTATAACTCTTACAATTTTCTTAAAACTTTTCTTTCCCTGCACAAAAATTCGAGCTGCAAACCTGTGTTTCGACAAACTCCCACGCTTTCAAAGGCCAACACGTCGCAAACACATTCTCTCAACCGCTGACACCACTCACTCAACAGTCACACACACACACACACATATACTAGGAGAGTGAGCGACACTTGAGTCGAAAAAAAACCCCAGGCGCAAACCCGTGCACCGCTGGTGATCGCGGCATGTGCCAAAAGGCGTACCCGGGTCGTTGGTTGCCCCGTTTCGCTTTGGCTCGTGGACTCGTGTCCAAGTCCGTTGGGTCAGACGCACGCCCAGTGTTTTCGTTTTGTGGCCTCAGTTGCGTGACTTAGCGCCTGACCTCTCTCCGCGCTTCTCAAATACATAACTTGGCTGTGGCGAACTTTTGTCCAATTTACATTTTCCATTTGTTTCCATTTCTCTCTCTCTCTCCTGCTGAGCCATCTTTTTGCCCCTTCAAATATGCATGTTTATTTACATTTTTCACAATTTTAATTTCTAGTTGCCTCGTTGCGCTGCGCTTGTTATTGTTTTCGTTTTACAACAAGATAGAGAGAGGGAGAGAATAATTCTACTGCAAGTTTATTGCAGTTTTCAATTTTCAAGTGGCCGCAACGACTGCATTATTTATGCGCCTCGTTCGCCATGTGCTAGAAATCCACTTGGCCCCCAACTCAGCCAGCAGCTCGTGTGGCGAAAGCTGCATCCCCAACCCCTATCCCCCTCCAGCTCTGTGCAATGTGGAGCAATGGCTTCATTTCAAATGACAACTGCCGCTTGATGCGCCGCGGGTTGGAGACCCCAAGTTGTTGGACTAGTGCAATTTTTTGCTGGCATCTTTTTCTTTTTTGTTGCTGCTGTTTTTTTTATGGTTTTGCCCAGACCCAAAACGGGCAACGGCTGCCATTCAGCGCCGTTTGTTTTGACGTTTTAATAGCCGCATCGTTTGGCTACTTTGATGGCCATTGCCCAATGACATTTAATGTCACAATTTGCGCGACTTTTAATTGCAAAGGCAGCAGTGGCCAGAACAGCTCTGGAATAGCAATGATCTGCGAGAAATGCAGAGCAAATAAACTAAGAAAAATTGCAAAACTCTTCAATATATTTTTAACAGCTCTCCCAACAGAGAAAGGGCCTTCGGTAAAGCTAAAAATAAAGAAAATCAATTAAATAATCGCTAACAACGGGCATCATTAACGGCAGCCAATTAGTTGAACCACTTGGCTAAGCGAAAAGGCATTTCAGAATTGGCAGCGTGAAAAGGCAAAAAAGAAAAAAAATGCGCGATCTCATGATCATAGATTAGAAGCTTATTTAAAATTCCATAAATTAAGTAACAACAAATCGTGGCGTTGCGGCGTCTAATGAAAATTGATGTCTTCATTGCGCAACAGCGAAAAATGGTTTTTCATTTCCAATTAAATAAACAAATGCCTTCGAACAGAAATGTGGCTAAAATCATTAAAATCAATAAAATAAACAGCGTTCACGTAATTATCAGCTGCAACCTGACATGGCGCCAAAGATGCTGAACATAAGCCAGCTAAAAGCTAAGCGAAAACAAAATGGCCGTCGACATGTATGAAATATGTGTGATAAATAAGCGTGCAATTAATGCAATTTGCAAAGTTTCACATGCTAGTTGCATACAGCGACTCGTTCGATTGGCTGCTGGCCGCATGGCCAATGACAAGCGGCGTGCATTGGGCGCATGTCACGCCACGCCCCAAGCGCCACTCACCCGCCTGTCCACCCACACGTGCGGTGGGTGTTAAGTATTGCGGCTAAAACCGGTTGTGTGTGCGAGTGCAATGGCTACATGCTAAACAATTCCAATTGGAGCTGCTGCCCAAGCTGCACAGCTAGCTGTGCTGCTCTAACACACGAAGCTGCGCGAGCAACGCAGCCATTTTGTATATGCCATGCGCTTGCACTTGCGTGGCGTCGGCAGCTCACCAATACACCACGGCAACTGCGCTCACAGGGAAAGAAATTGAGAGAGAGACAGAGAGCGAGCGAGACAGCCAAAGCCTTGCTGTTAACTAACAGAAGTCTCTCTGGGCTTAACAGTCTGATAAGAGGATCGCTTTTAAAACTGATCTGAAGCAAAAGACGTTAAGCTGAATTTATAATCGGATGATAAGTCAGTCGAAGCATTGCTGTTACAGTCTGTAAGGCAGCTGTGTATATAAAGTTAGCTAATCTGCAGTAAAATTGCTTAAACCGAATTAATATGTGCATATTCGAAAATAAATACAACTTTTAATATAAATGTACAAGCAACAGTTTAGTTTAGTTTATTATTATGCTATTATATATTATTAATTACCAACAATAAGCCTCTCTTATATGCCCAGGCAAACCAGTCGCGCTTAACAGCAAACTCACCTGCCTCATGTTAGGCAAGCACATAAACTCACCACACCATGTTACTGTGCGCGCTCGTTTTCTCTCTCTCTCTCTCTCTCGCTCGCTCACTTACGCTGCTCTGCGGCATGCCTGGACACGCCTACGATTGGTGGTTGCTCCCGTGTATGCCTGTGCCTGTGTGTGTGTGTGTGCGTGTAGCCTGTTTTTTTTTGGGCACAGCCCAATGTGCGCACACACGCTGAGTGGAAATTCAGTTCGCGATGGAACTCTGAGCACTGCGTTACAATTCAGTCCTGCTGTGAATCTTGTGACGTTTAGACGCTGAACGAAAAATCGCGCGAAAGCAGAAAAAATAACATAGAAAACGCGCGCGCGTTTTGTGCTACCAATAAATACGAAATATACGAGAAGCTGAAGCGCTAAATACATATAAAATATATATACATATATAAAAAGCTGGGCTTAGTGTGCATTGTGTGTGTGTATATGTGTGTGTGATGGGCGCTTGAGCCACAAACGAAAGCGTGAAACAAAACTTGAGCCAATTGAAAACTTGTCGTGCGCCGAAAAATGATGATGAACGCATTTATAGAGCCCGCGCAGCATCATTTGGCCAGCTATGGGCTGCGCATGTCGCCGAATGGCAACAGCAACAATCAGCAGATCGAGTTGCAACAGCAGCAACAACAGCAGCAGCAGCAACAACAGCAGCAGCAGCAACAGCAGCAGCAACAACAGCAGCAACAACAACAACAACAGCAACAACAGCAGCAGCAACAACTAGAGGGCGATGCCACATCTTTGGCCGCGGCAGCCGCGTATCAGAACTCGGGCTATGGCCATTTCAATAGCTATGCTTCGCGTGACTTTCTGCTGGGTCGACGCGGTGATGCCACGGATTATGCTGGTGCCGCTGCTGCGGCAGCTGTGGCGGCGCCCAGTGCAAGCGGCGCGGATCCGATGCTGTTCTCCAGCTTCCCGGCACAGGCGGCCGCGGCGGAGCTGAGCAGCGGGTTTGGGCAGCATCCGTTTCACAGTGCCGCGGCGCATCATCATCATCAGCATCAGATGCGGATGGCGGACTATGCAACGCATCCGTATGCCCAGCATCATCATCATCATGGCAATTTCCCGTCGGCGGTGCATGCGGCCCATCATCATGCCGCCGCCGCCCATGTCCACGCCCATGCCCATCCGCATCATGCGATGTCCGCGATGCATCCGGCGGGGGCGGGCGCATTTCTGCGCTATATGCGACATCAGCCGGCATCGGCGGCATCCAGCGTTAAGCAGGAGATGCAATGCCTCTGGATAGATCCCGATCAGCCGGGCCTGGGCCAGCAGCAGCAGTCGGCGCAGTCGTCGCAGGGCCGCAAGACATGCAACAAGATCTTTCACTCAATGCACGAAATTGTCACACATCTGACCGTGGAGCATGTGGGCGGGCCGGAGTGCACCACGCACGCCTGCTTCTGGATTGGCTGCTCGCGCAACGGGCGGCCCTTCAAGGCCAAATACAAGCTGGTCAATCACATACGCGTCCACACCGGGGAGAAGCCCTTCGCCTGCCCCCATCCCGGCTGCGGCAAGGTCTTCGCCCGCAGCGAGAATCTCAAGATACACAAGCGCACCCACACGGGTAAGTGTTACCAGTCGCAGTTAACAGTCATAGTTATCAGTTACCAGTCCCATCACATGCCTGTTGTCTTCCTGTCACGGGCTTAACCGTCCGGGCAAATCCCAGACAACGCATACGCCCCCTGCTTACCTGTCCCTCGGTCCCTTTTACGATCACCACCTGTTCGCAGGGCTAAGCCTTTCGCGCAAATCCTCGACAATATTTTTGCTTCCCACAAACTCGTGCCCTCGCCGTGCGCCGATAAGTCCCCGCGGGGCTTGACTTCGACTTTTCAACGGATTAGCCAGCGGATCTGTGCTCTATCCGTTGACTTCCACCAACTGTGGCATTCGGATAATCACAACTGTTCTTAGCCAGTTCTCAAAAGAGTTAAGAGAACACATAAGACTTTGTACTGAAACATTGCGGAATTTTAAAAATATTTACAAGATATACAACACAGAAAACAATACAGTAGGGATATTCCTTTAAGGAATTTCACAATACATTACGGGTATTCTTTCAAAATAATGAAAGAAAATTGAATGAACAATATTTTTAAAGTATATTTGAGATATTGCTCTAAAGAATTTCATAATTTCTAGAGGCATTCTTTTTTGAAATAATGAAAGAAGGTTGTGTAAAAGTTGTTTTAAAAATATATTCAAGATATTCTTCTGAAGAATTTCTTAATACATTAGAGGCATTATTTCAAAACAACGAATTAAAATATCAGATATTTTTTAAATGTTTTTTTAAAATATATAAGAATTTCACAATTCTTGGAGGCATTATTTCAAAATAAAGAAAGAAAGTATTTTTGAAATATGTTGAGGATATTCCATTTAGAAATTCCAAATAATGAAACACATTTGAAGGTCTTCTTCAAGAGTTTTAAACTGAAGAAAAAGGCTTTCATTATAGACAGTCTAGACACGTGTGTAAAATGTTGTAAGCTATATATTAATGATATTCCTGAATCCGCTCGCAAGCTATGGACTGTCATTTTATATACATACAGTTTTTATGATTAATTGTGATACTTAGGGTTTTGCATTAGATCTTACAATATTTGGAGATTCTTAAATATATAATCCTTATTTTACAAAACTATATCCTCTTTTTCAAGAAGTACTTTTTATTTTACTGCTGCTTCCACTTTTCACCTTTTTTCTTTTTATACACATCTAAATTTAGAACTTTCGAACATCTTTTAAGCTATTATTACATTTTATATAGCATATTCCAATATCAAAGTGTATTCCAATAACACGTATGTAATCGAAAAAAATCGAAGAATTAACTTAGCTGACGCATCAAAAAGAGATTGCTGGTTCAAACCCTAGGCTAGAGTATAAAGCTTGGCTTGATTCCTTAAGCAAATTTAACTATGTGTAATTGAAAATAAGTGAATATTAAAGTCGCTTTCGCGAGTCTTTACTGTATCTATTCGTAAACAAAGATACAAGTTATTAATTTGCATTTTGTAGCACAAATTAAAATAGTTAATAGACTTCTAAATGCGGTGCTCGTATTCTGTACAACTTAATGTTCGAATTGTTCAACATAATGTTCTATTAGTTAGTTAAGTTGGTTTTTACTCGTGTTATAAGCGCTTTTCCAGCGTGTCCCTATCTAAAATCGGCAACACTTCTTAACCCACATCCAAATACGAACTCTTCATTTATTCTTTAACTTTTATGTGTTGCCTATTTGCAAAATTAAAGAGACAACACTTTTGTATAATTTTACATAAATCTTGTCTGATTTTTTCCCTTGTCCTATCTCTGTCTCTATCTCTATCTCTTCGACACGCGCTTATCGAGCCATCTAAGTGTAACAATTGTTCGAGCCGAGGAGCAGCCCACATATCATTTTGGCAGCTCAACGACTTTTGGTGTGCTCTCTCGTAAATAAATGGCGCACAAATCAACGCTTTTGCATAAACTAAATCAAAAGTTTAATGTAGCATGGCGTCTACCCAAAATATTTACACACACCCAGGCACACACGACACACACACAGCGCACACCCAAGCATCGCGCCCGCTTTGTGTGTGAATTGCGCTGATTTTTGTGATTTTACCCCAGTTTCGATTGGAGTGCAGGGCACGAAGTGGCTAGAAGTATTTCCGTGCGATTACAGGCGGAAGTTTTGACACGTGTCAACACACACTCGCACACACACACACATGCACATGCTCAAGTGTGTGTCAATGTAATAAAAACAAACAACCAAACCAAAGAAAAGTTAACACAAAAACCAAAAACGTTGCTGATTGAATTTTGATTTATAAAGAGACAGAGTGAGAGAGAGAGAGAGGGAGCTAGTCAGAGATGGAGAGAGAGACATCAAGTCAAGTGCCAGGCCGGGGTTAAAGGTCGCATCAGCCACATCCAAAACTCTAATGAAGTTGTGTCTCTGCCGTCGGCCTACTTCAAAAAGAAACCCCATCAAAAAAAAGAATCTCAGCCAATCATGTACACAATATTACATTTTTGCTGCATCATCTCAGAAATTAGTCAAAATTATAATCAAAAAAAAAAGAGCCTAGAAAAGTTCGTATACGCCCAATGCTTGTGCGTCACTCAAGGGTTTCGAATATGGCGTCTTTTGGCCTCAAAATCGAATCAAACATTTTAATTACCTTTCGATGAGTGTGCAAAAGAAATTTGTCTGTTCGATAAATACAAAAAAATGAAGAAGAAAAAAACACACACAAATGATTTGTATTTCAATTGTGTATAAATTTCAAGCTCATTAAATTTTTGAATATTCATTTGTGCGTGGGGTGGGCAGGGGGGGTAAGAGTGTATACTATTGCTGGGTTTATTTTCGAGTAAACCTTAAAATACAAAAGTCTTAATTCTGATTAGCAACTAACACAAAAAAAAATGGCTTGTCTGGCTTCTGCCAGCGCGGCAGAGTTTTACGCTCTTCTCTGCTCCATTCTAGCTAATTTTATTTATTTCTAAAAGCGCCTTTTTATGCCAACATTTCTTTGGGTCGCACAAAATTAATGTGTTCAATATTTTTTTCGCATGCTTTTTTATTTCATTACTTCTTTTTGTTTGATCTTTTTTTTTGTGCGATCAACGTCAACACTTTGGATAAACATTTATTTTATTTTTATTCAAAATGTTTTGCATGTTTTTTATCTCAGCTTTTATTTATTTATCTGTTTATTCTGTTGAATAAAACTCACAAGCTATGTGACTCTAGCTAAGCCATATTAATGGACTCATTTTGGAATGTTGTAAATGTAGTAGGTAATAAAATTTTAAGTTTTTTGAAGCAGGCATAAAAAATGGCTTCTAACAATGTTTGCACTTGATCTGGGCATTAAAAGTTCTTGCGTTTTTTCTCTAAGTGTAGCTCGGATGGCAGCATGCGCCGCGTGCTCAGCTCATTATAAACAGCAAAGTTTTAGTGTCTCTAGCGGGCAATTAAAAACAATTAAACAAGCCATTAAAAACACTTATTGCATTGTTTTTAGCGAAGAACACAACCGGGTGCGAGCGCAGCGCATGTTAGCCGAGTGTCGAACCAAAATATAATTGCTTTAAAATTGCGCCACTCGTTTTAATAAACCAAACACAAAAGGCATCAAAAAAAAAACAACAATAAAGAAAATGCAAAAACAACAGCTGCAGCAGCAGCAACAAAAACAAAGCTTGCGCCAAAATGAAAGCCAAAGCAACAAGAACAAACAGCCGTAATAACATAACGGAGCGAGAGAGAGAGAGCGAGAACACAAGAGAGAGAGAGTGGGCGTTGTATTATCCTTGTTTGGCCTTAACACAGCCTTCGTTTATTAAAAGCGCGCTCTGCATACAAACAAACACAAAAAACACACACACACACATAGAAAGCAGAGATTACGGCCTAGGGTAGGCAGCCAGGCAGGCAGCTAGACAGCCAAAAGCAACGACAACAGCAACAACAGCTACAACACGTACGCACAGGCCATCCACAAAATGGCGTTTATATTGCTTGGCATATTTTACACAGTTTGTTTGCTTTAATTTTAGCTTTCGCTTGCCCCGACACTTCCCGCACCTTAACTGCGTAAGCTTTAACAAAAAGAGATCAGTTTTTGCTTTTTCGGAGTGTCGAAGATTTAATACCCTTGCTAATGTATGTTTAGCAGATTTGCGGTACATTTATTTTCGTAAAAGCCTACAAGTTCGACCAACTGTTCCTATAAAAGCTTTATATTTAGTATTAACTGATTTAGCATATATGTATGTGTATGTCTTATGGACTAACAGATGTTTCCTGCAATGCGTTACACAATTCACAACAGCATTGAAATACCCGCCGCGAGAGTATAAAAACTTTTTTATTTCATATTTTCGGCGGCTTTTGTGGCATAAGCGTAAATATGCGTAGATACTTTTATAAATTGCATTAAAATATTTTCATTAAGCGCTGGCCCTTAGTTATTATTTTTAAATCTGTTTATTATCTTTTAGCTATGGAATAGTTCATAGGTCTGTGTCTGTTTTGCAGTCATGATAAATTGTGTTTGAGCGTCAAGTTTATTAGTTTTCTATGGTTACAAGTTAACAGATTTTATGCGCAGCGAAAACAGCGATTAACGTTTTTTTTTATTTTGCATGTCACGCGTAGCTTTGGCTGCAAAACAAGCTGGCAGCACTGCAGAAAACTATTTGAAAAATGACATTCAACATTCTTGAAATAAACGTAAAAGTTGTCTCGATAGGAAATAGGACTTTCTCAACTTGATTTGAGTAACTAGATTTCAGGAATTGAAACTGTCCTTTTAAGCACTTTTGTCAACTCTACGCAGCTCTTCCCCCTTTAGTCTTAACCTTTAAAAATTGAATTGAAGCTTATGCCAATCGCTAACAACGCTCGCATTTTATCTTTACATTTTATACACTCTTCATAGACTTTTAGGTTTTTTGGCAGCTCTGCTGCCTATTGATTTGCAACTGCTGACTATCGCTAGCATCTTCCCATAAAAGTGCAATCTTTACTTCTCTTTATGTCATCTC